CGTACGCGCCTGGTGGAGTGTGTGTATGTGTGTATACCATACTCTCTTAATAGCATCCACTGCTTTTGGAGTGAATTCAACTCCAAAGTCACTTATCTCTGATATGAATCATTATTATATTTATACACATAATTCACATACACATATTGTTTTTATATACGTGCATAATCAACTTTTGTGTACCTTTTTCTTATGGTAAAAGGAAATTGTACTGGACTGACGAAGGTTTATCAACTGGAAAGATTGAGATGTCAAATAAAGACGGAACGGACAGAAGACAGTTGATTACAACACGATTGAAAGAACTTTATAGCCTGGCCCTTGATTCTCAAGGTACAAGAAATATCCCCGGTGGTATCACTTCATGTTCAATAGTGTAACACATGATCATCAACAGAGTCGAAAATTATCCTATATAGTGCATAGTTTCAAAATACATATTCAACCTAAATGATCCCCTTCTTGCGTGAAAACAGGTACAAAGTGGCCTCTTTATATAGCTCTATGTGGGGCTTATCCGGTACACATTCACAAGGAGGTACTTACATTTTCCCATGTTTGCGAACCTCGTAAAAATATGACCCTTTCTCGCGAAATTTTGCCCATTAAAAAAAATACTATATTTTCAATCCCCAATTTGTTATGATGATTATACAGAAAAATTTCACCAGTTGGGGATAATGATAACATGTAGTTTTTTAAGCTTTTACCAACCTTAAATTTGTTATGCAAGCTTTCAACTATGATGATTAGTTAAGTGAAATGTATACACTGTGTACACGAAGGCAATGGGAATTGATATCACCTGGAGATAGAAAGAGTTTTTACTCTGGTCGTTCAAAATAACATAGAATTAAGGTTTAGTTTATACTTCTAGGATGTTTGTTAGAAATCTTGCCCCCAAAGGAAGGGGAAATGGGCATTTATGGACGAACTCATCAGAGGTACAAAATGGGCACTTATGACAAGGGACAATTATTAGAAATAAAAAAGGGCACTTATCTGAGATAAAAAAGGGGCACTTTGGGGGTACTTTACAAAATGGGGAGGGGGAGGACGGTTTTTATTATCATCATTTATCAGGTCGCTCCTAATTATTTATTAACTCCCAGACTATTTTTTTCAACTCGTCTTCTGCAGAACAGCGCCTGTACTGGACGGAGAGCTACTACAATGTGATCGAGTCGATTGATCTTGATGATCTATCTGATCGAAGAGATGTTTACGCTGCGAGTGGTGATATAGTGGTCTTTGGCATCTCTCTCTATTTCACCTCCATCTACTTCACAGACTTCGGATCTAGAGGTCTACATGAGGCAGACATTGGAGTTGAGGAAATCAGGGAAATTACTGGATTTACAGCAGGAGCGCCTACCCATGTCAAGATTTATGCCGGTAAGAAGAAATCAAGAGATCTAAGAAGAAAAAAAATCGATCAGAGTTATTATAAGTACAAGTTCGATTATTTTAATTATTTATTTCTAATTATATTCATGAACTGAAGTAGAACTATGTTGTCTTCGTTTTTCATTCAAGAATTATAGACAGGAACGATAATGATAATTAGTAAGATATTAATCATGCTACTACTACTACTACTACTACTACTACTACTACTACTACTTCTACAAGTACTACTAATACTATCACTACTACTCATTATAATGATAATAATAACAATGATAATAGATTGACTTACTTGACTTATGCCGTCCATGCCGGAAGGAGAGCTCGTGATGGCTTCCGTATGGTGATGATATGCCAGGTATTTCTGTCTGCAGCCAGTCTTGATGCATCTGTCAGCCTTGTTATGGATCTTGCTGTGCAGTCCTCTGAGATGCAGTCAAGCCATCTTTTCGGTAGACGGCCTCTTGGTCGATTTCCTGTGATGTTTCCTTCAACAGCAATTTTGGGGTATCTTGTGGGTTTCATTCCTAGGACGTGGCCGAAATATTGATGTGTGTGTTTCGGATCTTGTCTATCCTTGTCACCCCCGTTATGCAACGGAGGCATGCCATTTGAAACACCTGAAGCCTTTTGTTATCTTCTTTTCTTATTGTCCAGGATTCTGCCCATGAAGCAGTATTGAGAGGATAAGTGTTTGATACAGTTGCGTCTTTGTGTGGCTACCAAATCTTTTTTGATGTCCAGATGTTATTTAGTCTCTGGAAAGCTGCCCCTGCTTTCCTGATTCGATTGTTAATGTCACTTGAACTTGAGCCGTTTTCTGCAATTGTTCCCTCGGTTACACGAAATCTTCCACCTGTTTTAATCTGTCGCTAGCTATGTCAATGTTGAGGTTGCACCTCATTTTGATAATAACTTGTTCACCTTGAGACCAAGGTCACATCTTAATATAGACCTTATCCACAAGTGTCTGCAGTTCCTCTGGGGTCTGTGCTATTGAGACGATGTCGTCTGCAAAACGTAGGATGTTTATACAGGTTCCTTAAATTTTAAGTCCTATTTGGGGAGATTACACACCCCTGCCTGACTCCAACGGTTGTCTTGAACCACTCTGTCAGTTCTCCATTTACTCTGACCGCACTCTGGGATTGTTCATACAGTGCTTGTAGCAGTCGTATCAGCTTGGTAGGATAGCCAAAACATCCAATCGCCTTCCACAGGCCCTTCTGCCATACCGAATCAAAAGCCTTCTGAAAGTCGATATTGCAGCAGTACAGGCTTCTGTTCTTTTCCGTGTATTTTTCAGCTATTTGACTATTTGAATATTTGGTCTGTCGTAGTCCTGCCTGGTCTGAATCCTGCCTGAGAAATCGATTTAGAGAGGATTTCCTCCGTTCTTGTGAGAATTCTTCTCTATAGGATAATGCTCAGTACCTTTCCTGCATGGTACAGCAGACTGATACCCTTTGTAAGTTCCCGCAATCTAGTTTATCTTTCCTCTTATGAATTGGGGTTATTATTGCTCTTCCCCAGTCCTCCGGTAATTTCTCAGATTCCCATATTTAGTTGAAGAGATAGCTGTCTGTTCCCTTTCTCAAGCTGCTTTGATTTCTTCGAAAGTGACTGTATCGAATCCTGTTGCCTTATCCTAACTAAGTTTTTTTTGTATTGCACTTATAATTTCCTCCTTCAGTATGTTTAGATCTGGCTTATGTGAAGAGCTGGTGGGTAGACTGTTTGCTACTGTGTCGTTTTTTGGATTGTGTTCATTATATAATTCGTCATAGTTTTCTTTCCATCTCTTCTTTACTTCTGATTGTTCTGTTGGAGTTCTCCCTGTCTTACTCTTAACTGATTGCATTGATAATAGATTATTGAAATATTAACAACAAAGATGGTAATGATAATAATAACAATAATGATGAAAGTAAATTGATATTGCGCAATTTTCTATAAGCATATAGTCAATAATATCCAGCTTTGAAGAAAAGATAGAGGGAGCAGAAAATGAGGCACAGTAGACTGCAAAAGAAAGATAAAAGTGTGGCAATAGAAAAACAGTTAATAATATTGAGAAATCAAAGTTGAATATATTTGTTCTTCGATTGGAAAATCTGAACTGTAATTGATCTGAGCCTTTGCGTATTACTAGTGTATAAAAAAACAATTAGATTATGTTTTTTCTTTTAAATCTACAAATCTGGAAGCTATATACCATTAAGTCCTTTGACAACGGAGCTTTGAAAGCGGAACTGTTTACCTGAAGAGCCTTAAACAAGGATGCTGTCTGTTTTCTCTAAATCGCACTCCCTTTAATATTTCAATAACGCTGCTCGCATGAAATTATTTTAATTGATTCATTTTTAGACTTAACGTGCCCAGTTAACGAGTCTTGCCCCGTTAACAGTCGATGTCAGTCGTCCGAGTGCATTTGTATAGCGGGTTGGAAAGGCTTGAACTGCCTTACAAGTAAGTAAATGCTGTATTTACATATTTACAATTTGGCTAAACTATGAACAACCTACCTTCATTAGAGTTAAGCTACCCTGACACTTGCACGAATTTCAGCCCCGTTTGCTCTGTGCGACAATCGATAGACGTTCGAGAGACAATAGGGACTTTTAGATTTGCACGTCGACATAGTGGACTGCTACGTGTAACGTTCTTTTAAGGCACTGTGATGTCCTTTTACGGCACTGCCATTGCCTTAAAAGGACGTCACACGTAGCAGTCCACTATGTCGACGAGCAAATCTTAAAGACCATATTCAGGAGATAACCGAGAGAGAGAGAGCCTAGAGCCAACCGAGAGATGATCCTTTTTAGAAGGCAATGAATGTTCCTCGTTAACTATACAGGTTCCACAGGGATAGCCCCTGCCTCCCTGGTTGCTTATCAAGGAATAGTAGATATTAAAGTGTCATACTCATAGTTGACATTTCATCTAATTCAAGCTCTGAATTCTATCAAATTTTTTAAAGTATACTATTCTTCAATGATTCGGTAACACATGGAAAACGAACCTTAGATTTCCCCATAGATTATTAGACAAAATACATTATCGTTAAAGGTAAAGACCAGTTATGGTCATGCGATTGCATTGTGAAAGAAACGTTGTGGAATCGATCAGAAAAGGTTGATCATCTAGCATCTAGCATCTGCAAGGTTCTGGAATCATTAAAATGATCAGAAATTTGGCCCATTCTACGTAAAGTTACAAGCACTATACACAGAAAGATGTATATGGGACTACCCTATATCTCTCACAGACCATGAGAGAAACAAATTTACCAAATATATGAATTAGTAGGCGGTTTCCCGGCAAATTTTTTATCATGTATTAGTCAAAACATATTCTTTCACATGATTGGTAATGAGAGCTTCCATTTCATTTTTTGAAATTGGGGCATTTCCAATACTGGTCTTTACCTTTAAGGCACAAAATATTAAAAAACTGGAAAATAATATTGTGCATTGTTCAGCTGTCGTTTTACGCAATTTAAATGGCCCAAATTTCTGTTTGTGTGTCGTTGTTCTTCTTTTTGTGGGTTTGTGTTGTTGGTATTGTTGATTTTATTTTGTTTTTACTTGTAGGAGTCACATGTACTCTCCCGAACCCCCCGCTGATGGCATCTTTCGTCAACCCCAGCGATAGCTACACGGCTAGTACAACTGTGACTGTTACGTGTGACAATGGCAATGACCAAGCTGAGTGGATTTGTAACGCTTTTACAGGAAACTGGGACGAAGAGCCAATCGACTGCTCCGATCAGTCTTCAGGTATTCTTTAGCTCTTTAAAAAGATAATGGTCACAACAACAACACTATCAATAATGATGATAATTGTGGTACTGATAACAATAATAATAATAACCATAATAATAACAATTGGCCCAAATTTCTGTTTGTGTGTCGTTGTTCTTCTTTTTGTGGGTTTGTGTTGTTGGTATTGTTGATTTTATTTTGATTTTACTTGTAGGAGTCACATGTACTCTCCCGAACCCCCCGCTGATGGCGTCTTTCGTCAACCCCAGCGATAGCTACACGGCTAGTACAACTGTGACTGTTACGTGTGACAATGGCAATGACCAAGCTGAGTGGATTTGTAACGCTTTTACAGGAAACTGGGACGAAGAGCCAATCGACTGCTCCGATCAGTCTTCAGGTATTCTTTAGCTCTTTAAAAAGATAATGGTCACAACAACAACACTATCAATAATGATGATAATTGTGATACTGATAACAATAATAATAATAACCATAATAATAACAATCATCACCATCATCACTATAATAATACAAAAAGAAAGAAGGAGAAGCAGAAGAAGGAGAAGACGAAGAAAAGGAGGAGGACGAAATAGAAGAAGCAGAAGAAGAGGAAGAAAAACAAGAACAAGATAACGACAAAAGAGAAAGAGAAGATGATGATGTAAGACTATGGTCCTGTATACCAAGAGTATCCTCATCAGTAATAATACTGTTCTTCTAGAGGGCCCTGCAATCGTGTTTATACCCTGGCCTCATCGCCTGGCTACTATCTGAATTTAAGACGTCAAGCATTAATTTCGATGAACTTTTTCCCACTAAGTACCTTGTTTGCTTCTCCTGGGTGAAGAAAAGCAATTGTAAAATAATGTCTTGCCACATTTATGACTTTAAACCCTGACGTTGGGGGCGTAAGTCGGCCACATTGAGAAATAGAGAAAATCTACGAGACTGCTCTTTTTGTGGAAAACAATTTTGTGAAGCCTTCCTTGACAAACACGTTAAAATGAATAAAATCCGGAAAATATCATTTGTCTTTTATTAATAGCTTAAATAGGCGTGGAATGTTGTTTATGCTTTTTCTTTTTTCAGCATCTTAACAAAGTTCCTGAAACCTCTTTCCTGCCAAATTCAGGCACATTAGGTATAGTATTTGAGGCTATGAAACCAGCATTTGTTACCTGATACAGGTGTGGCAACTAAGCAGCAGAAAGTGCTACTGCTATGCTTAGGGAAAGTTGATTTGTGTCGTGAAAACGTATTGTTCTGGATAAACTTGATGACAATATGAAGTTTAAACACATTTTTGGGTTACACCCACTTCACCCAGTAAATAGAGATCGCATGCTCGATCTGTTCGATTATTTCTGTTCTTGTTTCAGATCAACCTATAGCAATATACGCGGGAATTGGCGGTGGAGTATCGCTCTTAGTGCTGCTGTTGTGTATATGTGCATGTGTCTACTGGTAATTATCAGACCTTTTTTCTGTGTTAAAGGTACTATGTCCCTTTTGCAGCCAACCTCAAATTCTGTAGAACTTTTGTAGGAATTATGAATATGTCATGAATGTCCTATTTGTGAAATTTGAACGTTAGCAGCGTCCTAATATTCAAATTATGCAAGGAAACCCGTTTACTTGCTAGACTGCACTGTCAGACACTTTTGAGTGAGTGACTGGCTTTTTTCTTCTTTGGTAATGACATACATAAAATGAGCTGTAAAGGCTACATGAGCATTTGCCTACATCAATAACCCACTTCTTGTGATGGCCAAAATTAAACTGATTGAATCTTCGCGCAGTATAAAACGTATGACCATTCGGTACAATGGTCTGAAAATCAAGACTATTACTTATTGGCTCTATAGCTCCTAAGTCGATTTGACAACTAATGGTCGTTTTTTTCCCACGTGAAGACATTTTTAAGCCCCACCTTTTTTAGGGAAGTTCTAAATTAGTTTTATCTTTCGAATGCCGTTGGAATTTAACCTTTTCATTTGTTTGGCCTGCAAATGGGACATAGTACCTTTCAACAGACATTGCATTATCTATATAATGGAGATTATTAGCAGAAAACATCATGCAAAAATTACACCGTCTTCCGAAAGTTATTATTCTCTCCAACATGTATTTCTTAAATTTGTTTTAAATGCTTATAATTGATTTGTAATGTTTTGTTGGAAACATGAATAAATTTGAAATCTTGAAATCTTGAAGTATTGTGTTTCTTGTAAAAGTCAATTTTTTTTCGGCGGTTCTATTATATTTGTTCCAAAGCTGCATGTTAAAGGTAGGGAATTGTTGGGAAGTGTATTTAACGCATAAATAATCGTTGGTTTATACTTACATTAATTTTCACTCAGGGACATATCCCTGTATCTAGCAAAAAAACTACAAGTGAGGAGAGATTGAAAATGAAAATCAATATTGTGGTGAATGTGATATGAGGGGACTAATTAAAGACTCATTGATTTGTTTTCTATGAACAGGACGAAACGCAAACCGCAAAGACCTTCTGTCGCCACCCCCGTTCGGTCTGCCGCCCCACCTCTGACTGCTGTTTACACTGCAGGAGCCCAGCCTGGCGTAGTCACAATGCCTGCTCAGGCTCGTTGATGATCTTACTCGAGCTGAGGAGCAAGGATTTTACTTTCTAGTAGTGAACTGTGTACATGTATTTATAATCATATTCCCCTTTTTTTTTTAATTATTAGTCGTTGTATTTGAAAATGAATGTCTTAGTATTTTATATGTCTATCTTTTTATTATGTTCACACAATGTCCACACAAGTTTTAGATATGTTCGATTTCAATCACTAAAACGTTTGATATATTTCCGATCACGAATTTTATATTATCATAATTCATCAGCCACCTTTCAAACGGAAATATATCGAGTAGAGAATTGTATTTTTAATCTTATACTTCTTAGTGGTGATGTGGAAACCAATCCCGGTCCAAACTATAAATTTCCATGTAGAACATGTGAAAAACCAGTTAAGAATAATCAAAACGGTCTTCTGTGTTCCATATATCAAAAATGGCATCATACCAAATGCCAAGATATAAGTATACACGAGTATACTAGATTATACCAAAACCCAAATGAAAAATGGACTTGTTTAACATGTTCTTTACCCTCTTTTTGCGACTCGCTATTCACAACCTCCATTGCAAATGTTGCACGTACTCGACGTATAAGTGAATCTGAATTAAGTACCCCAACCAATGTCGATAACACAACACTTTATGAATGCTTTAATGATAAATTCGAGGCAAAAGGCCTGCATTTCGTCCATTTAAATGTTAGATCCATTTTGTATAAAATTTCTGAACTTCGATTACTTTTTTCTAAGAATAAAATTTCCATTATCGCAATTTCTGAAACGTGGTAAAACTCGTCTGTAAATGATGAAGAAGTCTGTATAGATGGATATTGCATTTTACGACGAGACAGAACATCTGGGCAAGGAGGTGGTGTTTGCCTCTTTATTAGAAACGATATTGCCTTCAATTTAAGAGCCGATCTCATGTTAGAAAACGTTGAATCATTGTTGGTCGATGTCCTTTTACCACGAACCAAACCAATTACATTTGGCATCTACTACAGACCCCCTAAAGATCATACTTTTATTGAAAGACTCTCCGAAACTTTTGATAAATTAACAAAAGACGATGAGGTCATAGTTTTAGGAGACATAAATATTTGCCTTTTGCGAAAGTCTCCATTATCCAGAAAATATAAAAATATATTGAATTTAAATGGTTTGAACCAACTTATAAATCTGCCCACTCGTACATCACAGACGACTTCCTCATTAATAGATCACGTATTATGTAGTAAGGAAGAGCATATATGTCAAAGTGGCGTTATTGACCTTGGCATAAGTGATCATTCACTAACTTATTGCTCAAGGAAGCTTATTAGGCCCGTGTTTGGGCACCACAAAACTATATCCATTAGAAGAATGAAAAGTTATAATGTAGATGATTTCAATTTAAATTTATCTCTAGCCGATTGGTCTAAAATAACAGAATGTAACGAAGTAAATATGGCATGGGCAAATTTTAAAACTATTTTTTTATCAATAGTTAATATGAGTGCACCTCTTAAACAAGTAAGAATCAAGCAAAGAACAGAAAAATGGATGAACAATGAAATTATTGCGATAATTAAAGAGAGAAATGTAGCTTACAAAAATATGAAAAGGGATATTAGTAATTTGGATCTCGCAAGAAAATACAAAGCATTAAGGAATCTAGTACAAAGAAAGGTTAAAAGAGCTAAAGTCGAATATTTTCAAGATCAAATTGAAGAAAATAAACATGACTCCAGGAAGTTATGGAAAAATTTGAAGGGTTTAGGTCTAAAAGGCAAAGGGAAAAGTGCTCAAGAGACAGTTATTAATGTTCAGGGAGAATTATGTCATGATAAATCAAGAATAGCAAATGAGTTCAATAATTATTTTACAACTGTGGCTGACAAGTTAGCGTGTAAATTACCAGTAAACACGAACAAATTCCATGCCGACAGTGAAAGATTTCAAAAGTTTTATGACGAGAAAGACATCTCAAAAGATAGTTTTCACTTTTCTCCAGTTACAGAAAAGTTTGTTTTAGATGAGTTAAACAAGTTGAAAGTATCGAAAAGTACTGGACTAGATATGATACCAGCCAGATTTTTAAGAGATGGGGCGAGAAATTTGTATGAACCTTTGAATTATATAATCAATTTATCTCTTATGTCTTCTACCTTTCCTGACGACATGAAAATTGCAAAAGTAACACCGCTACATAAAAAGAAAGACAAAACTGACGTTGGTAATTATAGGCCTATCAGTGTTTTAAGCGTAGTTTCAAAAATTTTGGAAAAATCGGTTCATGCTCAAATAGAGAAATATTTTCAAGAAAAAAAGTTAAAATATGAATTTCAGTCCGGCTTTCGTAACGGATATTCCACTGAAACATGTTTAATACATTTATCGGATTTTGTTAGGAATGAAGTTTCTCAAGAGCGCTTTGTTGGAATGGTTCTTCTGGACTTACAAAAAGCCTTTGATACTGTAAATCATAACATACTGTTAACGAAATTGGAAGTGATGGGTTTGGATTCGGCTTGTGTTAAATGGTTTAGATCATATTTAACTAATCGTCATCAAGTGGTAACTATGCAGAAGGTAATATCTGATTCCCAGCCTATTAAATGCGGGGTTCCACAAGGGAGCATTTTAGGCCCCATTCTCTTCATGTGTTATATTAATGATATGTGTACTTGTGTTAATGATTCTAAATTACTTTTATATGCTGACGATAGTGTGTTACTATATTCAGATACAAATCCTAAGTCAATTGAAGAAAAACTAAGTGCAGAATTGGCAAAATGCATCGAATGGATGACAGACAACAAGCTTAGTTTACATGTTGGAAAAACAGAAAGTATTTTATTTTGTTCGAAGGGAAGGTTTAAATATACACGTGACTTCAAGGTTACCTATAATAATCAAGTGATTGAGAGTAAAGATTCAGTAAAATATTTAGGAATAAATTTAACTAGTGATCTGTCATGGACAGGTTTGGTAGATTCAATTGCCAAAAAGGCTAATTCTCGCTTAAAATTTTTGTATAGATACCAAACTTGTATGAACATGAAGTCGAGACGTATTTTGTGTTTTGCTTTGATACAATGTTTATTTGATTATGCTAATGCTGCTTGGTACAGTAGTCTGGGCAAGATGGATAAGAATAAGTTAAGAATAATTCAGAATAAGATGGTAAGATTTATTAATTGCTTAGGCCCAAGAACACACGTCGGGAAAAATGAACTTGAAGAAGCAGGTATACTCTATGTAGGTCAAAGGTCTAAACAACTCGTGTTACACCATGTCCATAAAATATACTACTCAGATGTAGATCATTATATTACTAATAATTTTACTCGTGTCTCAAAAATCCATGGATACGATACAAGAAATAGTCATTTTAATTTTGTTTTACCCAAGCGAAAAAGACAAATTGGAAACTTTTTGTATTTTAATGGTATCCAATTTTGGAATTCTCTCCCAAAACATGTCAAAATAGTTAAGAATTTTTCACACTTTAAAAGTGTATTAAAACAATACCTAAAGCATGAATCCCTTCAAGAACAGTAATATCAGTTATCTTAAATCACAGTTCATTATGTGTAGCGCATGTTTTTAAGTTTAATCTTGCATAATATATCGTAGATCATTGTTTGCTATAAGTTCTAGAAATTTTTGTTGTTGTTTATGTTATATTATTTATTCGTAATATTCGTAGTAGTTATTAGTTGTGATATTTTATTCTCATGCCGTACTGTACACGTACTTTTTAGGACCCCGTTGGAAATAAGCCTTTTCCGACTTTCATGGGTCATCCTGTCAATGTATCTTCTCGATTCTATGTAAGCATTCAATGTACTATACTTGACGAATAAAATCAATCAATCAATCATGCCGGGAAATCATGCCACCAGCTCTGTTAACCAGACAGTCCCCTACCATCCTGGTCAGGCAGTTGCTATGCCGGGCAATCATGCCACCAGCTCTGTTAACCAGACAGTCCCCTACCGTCCTGGTCAGGCAGGTGCTATGCCGGGCAATCATTCCACCAGCTCTGTTAACCAGACAGTCCCCTACCATCCTGGTCAGGCAGGTGATATGCAGGGCAAGGGTGATAAGAAGCAGCTCGAGTCTGAATACGAGACTTCCTTGGACGCGATGAATGGACCTTCTGGTGCGGCAGCATATCCAGAGCAGTATCCAGGGCAACCTGGAGCGCCCCCTTACTTCACAAACCCTCAAAACGTAATACATACATAATAATGATAAATAAATAAATGATAAAATAAATAAATACATACCTATTAATTGAATTAATTAACAAATTAATTAATGGATGGTGGATAAATGAATGGATGAATAAAAAGATGAGTAAATCAACAAATAAGTGAACAAAATTATAAATGAAAAAATTAATTAATAAGTTGATAAATAAATAAAATTAAATAAAATATGGTACAAAATGATCTAGCGTAAAAACGGATGCTCAGTCGGTCCCTATTTCTAAAGAATCGGAGTTGGAGTCCTTTGACACAGTACTATTTAGCGCCAGCGATTAGGTGTCCGCTTGAAGAAGAAGAAAAAATGAGACCCGTACGCAGACCCACCGCCACAGAAGTATAATAGAAATACTAGGGGCCCGTTTCATGAAAATTGTTATCTATAACAACTGCAAAATTTCTATAACAAATTAGTTCTCAGCCAATCGATACCATGATTTCAGTAGTTTATAACAGTAGCTTGTAACTTGTATCTACCGCTGATGGGCAGTTGGGTACACAGTGAGGTTTCTACTGTTAGCACGCAGCGTGTGCGGTAGGAATCGGCATACGTTGCACATGCTTTAATATAAGTATAGTGTTAAGTTTGATATTGGCTATAATTACTGTGTCGTTGTTTATGTAAAATGTTAAATATTGAGGGGGAAAATGGATTTTAATGCAAAGCATTTAGATTTAAAGTTCATTGTAACAGTCAAACACATTGAAATCGATGGAACCGTGTCGGTCTTAAAAATTGTACCTAAAATACAACTAAACAGAGACGGTACTCCCGGGGGATTGTTCTTATCATTATTGTTATCATTATCACTATCACTATTTTTGTTATAATCATTTTTTTAA